TGGCTGCTCGGCACGTCCCGGACCTTCCACCCTTCCCGAAACAGGGCTTATCTTATGGGTGCAGAGAGTGGCGTAGTTGAACTGTTACCCATAAGTCTGTTGAGCACGCAATGTCAAACACAGTCGAGCATGTCCCCTTTTGCACATGTTGCATATGCTGCTCTCGGCCAGTCTTGAGTCTGTACACACAGCTGCTTCGGAGCCCATGCCTTCGTCCTGTGAAAGCAGCGCCCAGCTCGCTTCCCGTTCGATCTGTGATCAACTCTCGTGTTTGCAGGTCGTTCTGCACTGCCGCGCTTTTCGTGATGGGCCCACCGAGTGCCCCTGCTGACTTTTTGTTCGGGTTTTCACGAGCTTTGGTTGTCTTCACAGCTGGCGCAGCAGCGCATGCCGGAACCTACGGAAGAGATGCAGTGTAGCGATTCCAGCCTTCTAATCCCATTTCTGCGCCCACATGGTAGCTCTGTTCAATTCATGTCTTCTCGTGCATTCCGCTATGCCACGATGACCTGAGTCAGGTACAAGCGAGGCCCTCGCAGCCCCAAGTCGACGGGTCCAAGGCAACTGCCTGCTGTTTTGAATCACTGGGTTCGCACGTGAAAGGTCATCTCTTACGCTAGGTCGCTAGCGTCTTGCCAGCGAAGTCAGTGGATTAACTCAAGGCATGCGATGACCCATGGAATGCTGTTGGTGCTTCAGACATTTGCACACGTTCCCCGAATCTTCTGGACACAGTGGCCTCCATGTCTGACCAATCCGGCCGGAACTGGAAAAACAAATTGGGTGTACCTGGTTCAACAGGTTCGAATCATATTCATGCCGAATTCGACAGTTATTCATCTCCAGTATCGAGCACCCAGTCACCTGATTGCCTTGCCAGCTTAGCAGTGTCTGGACCGCGTAGGTACGTGGTTTGTTCAGCTGATATCAGCTGATAGATTTCCTTGATCACATATGTCATTGTGCAGGGACATGCGCGGAGTGGCATGGCAGACGTGGGTGCATGATCACGTGACGTTGATTGCCCCTTGGAGTCTAATGTTACTGTGGAACCAACGCTTAACGTGATCTCGAGTGAAGGTCAGATAGCTGGCAGCTCCAAGCGCCACATCAGAAGCCACATCATGGAGAATAAGCAAGCTGACTTTGCACGTCCAGCCTCCCTGTGCGAACGCCGGACGTCAGAAAATCGAGACGCTTAGGTCAGTGGCGCACGTGGGAAACCACCAGTAAGCTTCGCAGAGCTGGCGGAGGAGGTCCAGCAGGCCCCGTTGGATCTTTCACTTCGGCCTGTCTGTGCAGATTGTTTTTCGGATGGGTGTTGCCATGCCACGGGGAGGTCTTGCGTCCGTTTACAGTACAAAAAATACTTCGCGACACTGCAAGATGCAATGCACGAAAGGCTTTCGATGCATGGTGGCTGGTGCAGCTGCGCCACTCGCTCCGCTGAAGGGAGAGAGGGTGAGAGAGCGGGGCCCTGGACGAAACAAAACTGTTTGTGTGTGAAAGAGAGAGAAAAAGAGAGAGAGAGAGAGAGTCAGCTCTGTTCTACTCCGTTTTCAATCGCCTTCGATTACGAATTCCCCGGTTCAGAGTCCCTTGTTACTTGATTTTTCACAGGGTCTTTGTTCCTGTGTACCACATGAGTGTGGTGTCACGGTAGCCTGTTTCGCACCAATGCATGTACAGGCGGACTCTCGCCGCTTTCTTGCTGTCTCGTCTCGCACTCTTCCCAATGCCTCCCGGTATCCCAGTGCCCACGTGCAACATGGCTGCATCGGCATCTGGCATGTCGGTAGTGCATGGATCGTCTGTTTGTGGTGAGGGTCCAGAGCGAGAGAAGAGAGCAATCAGCCCAACAGCCGTTTGCATCCTGCTGACGAACGGCAGCATTGCCATCTCTCCTAGCTGCTCATGTGTACAGCTCGGGAAGACAAAGCCACTACCCCGTTTGTTCCTTTGCCCCGTCCTTCTGCTTATTTGCTGGCCCTGAATCTAGTCACGGTTAGCTGGGCAGTATTTGCTACTTGGTGTTTGCTGAACAGCTGGCAAACTCCCTCTTGTCTATGTTGATGCACGGACTACCCTGTCGACACCTTCGAGCAAGTCGTCTCAACATCATCTACCCAACAGGGACGTCTGGGCCAGGTACCAATCAATGATGCAGGGTTGGGACATGCCGCGTCAGGGTTCGGAAGGGTGCAGCGCCTGCTGACAACATGTTGCCCCCACTCTACTGGGATCCTTTGTGTGTGAACCGTCCGCACTCACGCTCAGGTGAGGTCCGGGCACCCTCATCCTCCGAGCCAGTGGAGTCCAGTCCACGCGCTCTCCCGAACCTGGGCAGAGGATTCGAAAATAAGTTCCAGGAGGCTGCCGCATTTTCATGCGTGGCCGGAGAAGAGGGGTTTCTGTCCAGTGCAGATTTGAATGCAGCATGACTGTAGCAAGCTGAGCGCACGGGTTGCTGTATTCTCTCGGCTGGGCTTAAAGATCAACGTCATGATCCCGAGAATGCTCGAATCGACCAAGTGCCTTCACCAAATGTTGCGCGAGGCGACGACTTCAGAGCCGTGTAGTTCTGCGATGATGTTTGCAGTTGCAGCTGAGGCTTGCGCCGCCTCATCCTGCCCGTGAGGCCAGATGCTGTCGTGACGAGCCGAAGCCTCACGTTGTGGGGGTCTCCTGCGTGGTCTCAGTTGCTAGTTCTTCGAGAGATTCATAATAGTGTAGCGGCTTCCAGCAGGTTTCTGTTGTCAATTAGCTCCCTATCCTTGACTCGAGGGACTGCTCTTGTAGCGATCCCTGAACTACTCCAACACCCCGAGGAGTCCCCACCTTGTTGAACTTACTGGTGTCGTTGCCTCAACCCTTCCGCATGAAACAGCGTGTCATCGTCCCTGCGGTGATGTCTCCCGCACGCTTTCCCTGTCCAATGTTACATGGATAGAAACATGTGAGGCGATCGTCGCTACGCAACCAACCAGCCCTGCCCCGACATTGCATTCTGACGACCTGGCAGACCCAGCTTGGACCAGAACCCGACCAAGTTGCAGGGAACATTTGCACGATCGATCGCTTGCTGCGCAGGGTGCGGCCACGTCTGCATATCAGCCCTACAACGTCTAGCATGCAAGGCGCATGGTGTCTCGCATGCAGCACGGATTCATCGAAAGTCCACACTGCTATTCTAAAGGGATCGCAGCCTGGCAAGTCCCGTCTTATCTTTTGCCGTTCGAAGCAGCCTCTGCTTCAAGCGGCAAGAGCAAAAGCTCCACCAAGAACCGCCGCGCGCACTCGCTTCCAGGGCGTGCCGTTGACCGCCCTGCAGCTCTGATAGTTCACGACGTTCACGAACTCAGCTCGAAACCCGAGCAGAATCGGCAAGGAAAGCAGCACCACCTGGTTCTAATTGTATTCTTTGGACTGTAAGCATAGCTCTAACTGTAGGTCTCGGTTACGATCACGGTCAGCAGCCTGGTGCTTGCGACCTCTAAATCGCTGCTCTGGATCTCTCACAGATTGTCACGTTCACCCGCTGTTGCAACACCAGGCTCGCATACTTCGAGGCTGCTGGACGGCCCGGCTGCTGTTGCGGCCCGGCCTGATTCTGATTGATTTGTGTGGTCGCAGAAAAGCCTGGCCCCGCTGTTTGGTTGCGCCGCGATCTCGCTCGCAAAAGTATATCCCATCTCTCATCCATTCGGCACTTCTGGCTCCAGACCGCCGTTCACCTAAACACCTCATGACTGTATAGCGTACTGTTTTATGAGCTCAGAGGAGCCAACACCACATGCGCTCTGGATGGGGCTGCGGAGTGTGCAAAGCAATAATTAGGCTTTTGTTTCCTTTGTATGCCCGAGGCTTAGCCAGATGGCTACCCAAGGGCCACTGCAAGACAGCTTCTGTTCACAGTCCTGGGCAGCAGGCACTGGGGGATGATGGGAGCTGCCTTTAGCCAAGACTGGAAGAGTCTACTTTTGGAAAGACCGTTCCGATGGAGGCTGCCCAAACAACCCTTTTGAAAAAAGGAACATAAAGGTAAATAAAATGGTGGAACCAGGTGAAACAAAAAGGTACAGAACATGTGACAAAAATGGGAGAAAGGTGGAGAGCAGGCACAGGTCACGTGACTCGGATTTTGCTGAATGTGCGCGCACGTGCCGGGGCAGACCGGCGGGCGGGCGGGGGGGAACAAGTGTAAAAAATGAGAAAAAAGGTGAACAACATGTAATAACAAAAAACGTAAAGGCCACGGAGAGGACAGACGTGCGCGAAATCCCGGATCACCCGGTCTGCAAGTGGCATTTACCTGTTTTTCACCTTTTGTTACACCTTTTACACCTTTTTCGCCCCTTGCAAAGGAAAATGATAGGGGCGCAAAGCCTGCCCCCCTGCCCCGGCAGGTGGGCGGGCGTGCAGCAAAATCCGAGTCACGTGGCCTGTGCCTGGTCTTCACCTTTCTCCCATCTTTATGTTTACATGTTCTTTACTTTTTGTTTCACCTGGTTCCAGATTTGTTTCCCTGTTTTTTAATCACCATTTTTAACCCTTTCTTCACCTTACAACTTCACTGTTTATTTTTACCCTTGATTCAAGCCGACATCAGCCTTTGTCTCCATGGATCGGACCTTCTAAGTCTACTTCAACGCGTCTTTGCGGCAGCTTCTTGGACCATTGTCATTCCACGCTTTCAGGGAAAAGGCTCCCCGAGACAAACTTTAGAGCAACGGATGTGGAAGTTACAGCAAAGTCGCAACAAGCTGGCCTGTTGCGAACTCCAGAGAAACCTGGCCATGTAGTGTGCGCCACTTGCAACCAAGAGTGCCGAAGCAACTTCCGAACCTAGCAAGCATGCGTGTTCACACTAAAGCTGGCTTTGGCTTCTCGCTCTGCTGAGCCGGTCCGTAAACTGGTGCAGAAGCTGTAGCAAGCAAAAGCTGAAGTCGGTTGTGTCGGAGCAAGCTTGATATATGGAACCTCGGAGAGCCACCCGCAAGGGCTCCTGCACTTCGGGGACAGCCGGCTGACGCAGGGCCTCCTGGCACTGTTGCTACGTGGAGCCACGGCAGCTGAGCCCAAAGTTGTAGCAGCGTCGCATGAAACAAGCTTTGGTTGGGGTGTGCTCCAGTCGATGCACGGAGGGGATTCCTGCGGTAGGCCACAGGATTCAGAAGGGACACTTGGAGTGTGCACTGCAGGTCGCGACTAGCTCAGAGGGAGGCGACCTTCGAACTCTGGACCTCGCCTCTTCCCCACGTTTGGCCCTGGGCTTGGCATTTCTACTTCTGAAGAGGAGCAGGGAAGTCCCTTCTACCCGGGCCAAGCTGGTCTATTCGGTTCTCTCGGCCTTGCTGGAGGCCTGCCATGCAGAGGAAAAAATCGAAGGCATCGAAGGTTGGAGCGGCCGAGGCCGAGGACTCCGAGGAGGCCGCGGTGTCACTAGCGCCAAGTTGCTGGGGCAGCTTTCGGGGCCAGAAGCTCTGCTGGACCGCTTCTTCGAGCGATCAGGCGATCTCGATGACGAGGCCGAGGACGGCTCCGAGGGCTCATGGAAGCCCTGGCTTCGGCTTTTTCTCTGCATTGCCGACCTTGCCCGGGGCAGGTGCGTTGAGTGCGGCACCGTTTGGGCCTGGGAGTTTGAAGGTGGTCCGCGGTCGGTTGAATTCAGCGATCCCTTAGCAGATGGAGGGCAGGCCCTGGCCGGCATGGAGATGCAGGCGAACATCATATGCTGTCCTCTGGCCAATTGGCTGATGAAGAACTCTCCCACTTTCACCTCGGCATCACGCTCGGAGAGGCCAGTAGATGTCGAGGCTCCGGAACCCGAGCACCGAAACTCCGACAGCTCCTTTCTGGCTGTTGAGCCGGAGAGCTTGTTGGAGATGTTGAACCACGGTAGTCAGTGGGAGGTGGGCGAGGACCCCACACCGCAACAGCTTGGACAAACAGAGTGGTGGCCCGCGATGGAGGCGCAGAAGCCAGAGGCGATCCCAATGTTAGGGGCTCGGTTGTTTACTTTTCCGTTGCTCTCTGAGGAAAGTTAGTCCCTCAAGGTAGCGTGCAGGTCCTGATACCTGAGGCTACTTCTGGCCATCATGGCTACTCAGCGACCGTGGGTTTGGCAGCTGCCCTGGAGCACCAGCTTTCGATTCCATCTGACTCACGCGCTCTACCTGATCAAGGCAGCAGCCGCAGGCATGGACACTTAGGCGATCCTCGAGTCGATGGCATGCCGGCATGCCTCGCAGCCCGTCCCGAAGTCCCGGGGACAGAACGTGAATCCAGAGCGAGCGTGGCCGATCTCAATCGTCTTCTGGACGCAAAGCGGTGGACCTGAAGGCCCGGGGCCGTCTGAAAGCACCGAGCATGCGCTTGGAGCTTTGGCCGAGTCGCTCTTCGCGACGACTCGAGGGCTGGACGGTGACTTCTGTGTTTCGAAATCCCCGCGTGGAGGCCTGGGCCTGGCAGGCAAGCGCCAGCTTGGCCAGCTTGGAGCTGGTCCGCGAGTTGCGCGTTGACGGAGCTCTTACTGTACTCCTCACTTGAGCTTCTCGACCCTCGGCCATAGAAGCGCAGCAAGCGGTAGCCAGTATTCTTCGAACATTGTCGAAGACCTTTAAAGACCGCGTGCACCGAAACAGCGCCTCAGGAGTTGACATCAGATGACTTGTGGATGCGAAAATGCTGCAGACCGTGCCAGACTGCTTGCAGCTGCTCTGCTGGAGTAAGGCGCTTGCGGAGCAAGGGCTGCAGAAGAATAACCTCGAGGCAAAGGGACGTCTTTCGCTGCAACAAGGAATAGAAAGTGTGAATCTAGCAACAAGAAGTCGCAAGACGGTGTCGCAAGTGTACACGACCAGCATCAATGATGTCGGCGCAGTTAGACATCGCTTGTTTGGCTGTGTTCGCTGGCCCGGTTTGCTGTGAGGCGCTAGAAATACCTCGAAACTCAGGGGTGCCACGTTCAACCTTTCGAGGAAACATAGAAGAAGGTCTTCATCACCATTCTCTCCAAACCACTATGCGATCCTCCTTGTAACGAGTGCAGTCCACAAGTCCCTTTTGCTCAAGACGCGACTTCATGGCACCTTACTTTTGCGGCATTGCCGTTCCTGCACCCTTTGGCTTTGTGCCTGGGTGTGTCCGGGGTCATCTTTGAGCTTGTGCCCTGAGCTAATCTCGGCCATCGAGGCTATGTCGAAGTCTAAATCTTTTCTGACGATGTGACTACAAGCACCGGGACCATGGCCACGACTGCTGCTGCTACTTCTGTTCGTGCTTCTGTTGCCACCTTTTGCTCCGACTCGGCTGGTCAATGTTACTCATTACTCCTACGACGACGATCATTTACTCGTACTGACGTAACTACTGCTACGAGTCGGGCCGCTGCAAAAAAGCCTTGTCTCCGAGAGGCTTCCTCCAAGAGCTTCCAGGGCCAAGCCGAGGTGTCCTTTTTTTGAGGGACCTTGGGACTTGATGTTCAGATACTGGGTTTGGATGTAGGGGTGAGAGTTGACAACTGATGTCATGGTGAGATGATGGGTTTTAGTTTACGTAGTGAGCCTGCGACAAGAACAAGGCTTGGGATTTCCCGATTCTTTCGCGATGTGTTCCCACTCTTGCATGGAACGAGCCCTTAGTAGCGCTGCGAGTGGGACGACGATGCAGTCAATGACGCCTCTATCTATCTATCTTTCTATCTTTCTATCTATCTATCTATCTGTATATATGGTATTGAGTAACGACTGTTTTTGGACTATGTGTATCAAAGCTTGGTCTATTGGCCTTGGTCGCCGAGTGCTCTTTTGAAACAGTCCTAGAGCCCTTGAGTCCGAGTGCGAGTGTCGAAATTCCTCCAGTTTTCGGTGTTTCTTGCGGCTGTCGTTACTTGGGGTTGCCAGATCCTGGCCAAAGACATCGATCAATCCAAGCGACAGGTGCCACTGGCTGCCCTTGGCTTTTGATTGCCACGCTTGTAGTGCTGCAGCGGATGTCTGGGTCTTCTGCGGCCGGTGTTCATTTGCAGGCTCTGAGTGATTCTGTGTCTGAGTGGTAGGCGCAACACCAGAAATCAGCTGGAGGTGCTGGAATTGAGAAGCTCTTTGGCGGGGCGGAAGGCCCACAGCTTTCCTGTGCAATCACTGGGATATCACAGCAACATTAGGTCAGGCCTTCTGTGGCGTTTGTGTAACCAAGCTCTTATGTTCACAAGCACGTGGATTTCCGATTCCCTGACCTGAGCATACCTGAGCCTATATCTAGAGCTAGGGGCAGGAGCGACTCTTGCATGCTCTGAAGGCTGTTCTGGAAGAGAAGGAGAAGTCATTGAAGATGGAGGCAGCGCACGGCGGACAGTGTGTGGAGTGCCGTTGACTCTGGCTACCGTCTGGTAAGGTCGTCCGTCGAATTTGCAGGAGCCCTCTCAAGACATAGTAGTCGTTGGCTGATGTACAAGCTGTGCGTATGGACCAAACAGACGCCCGTGAAAGCAACATTCATCTCAGCAGCAGGCTGGCTGGACCTGCATGGAAATCCCTGCAATCCTCTTTTTGCCCTTGGTCCTGCAAAAGCCGCCGCTCCAGGAAACAGTTCGTGTGGAGAAGGAGGCCGGCCGGACTTTGACACGAAAGGGTCGGTTCTCGGTTAAAAGCAGCACCGGACCATGAGGCACTTTGATATGGACATATCGAAAAGCCCTGCTGTGACACTGACACTGCTCAGATCGTGCAGCGAGAGCAGCTGTCAGCCGAGCTGGCACGGAGCTCGGGCACCAACATCGTTTCGTCTTTAGGGCCGCAGAAAGACGCGTCTCGCACTCCAACACGGGCGGAGGTGCAGTTAAGGTTCAGTCATGAGTGTTTGAGGCTTGGCTTCTAGGAATTTGTATGTTGCTGCTGTGGTAGTAGTACTCGTCGCGGTAGTGGTAGTGGTAGCCGTGGGCGTAGTCGTAGATGTCGTCGCAGTTAGTAGTAGAAGAGTGTCTCTGCCCAGCAGGACCAGACCCGAACGAGCTTAGCCGAAGCCAAGGCCGTCATGGAGGCCAGGACTCACACAGCATACGGCCCTTCAGCTGAGATAGACCGTATAGTTTTCTGTATGAGTGTAACAGCATCGCAGACCGAGTGAGCGACGGCGACTGGACTGTTTTGCCACGCGGCAGAGAGGGGGCGCCACACTGGGGTTGGGGTTCTTTGATCGGACCCCTACTGTATGTGTGAGAGGAAGGCAGACAGAGAGAGAGAGAGAGAGAGAGAGAGAGAGAGAGAGAAAGAAGACCTTCAGGGACAATGAGACCGCGCTGGGCAACCCCAACTAGACGAACGCCGACCTCAAGGACGCGAAGCTGGAGATCTACTACCAAGACCACCGGGAGAAGTACGAGTACGCGACCCAGCCCATCCAGCGGGGCCACCAAGAGCACTATGTTGCCCAAACAACAGGCCTCCCACAACATCACGGGGGACGACCAAGGGGACGAGACCTCCTGGATGGCCGTATCCAACACCAACCCGCCGACAAGGGGGACTACAAGAATGGGGCCGCCAACTACAACGACGACCTCGATCCCACCACCTCCACCACCACAACTACAAGAGGTAGACATGCCGCTTCCTCCTCCACTACAACCAGATACAGTATGCTCCTCAACATGGGCTATCCACATGGCACCACATGGGTCCTAGAAGAAGGGGTGTGGCAACCGATTTTCCCAGGGGAAGCACAAGGAGCAGCTGGAGCAGCCCGTGGGGACCCTCTCCAACAGTACCACACTGGCTGGTCAATCTTTGCCGACGAAGGGCCCGAGGGGATGGGAAGCGCAAGCAGTAGCCAAGGGCCCCTGCAGCAACAACCTGTAGCCACAGGACAAGGAGGAGCTAGGGGGACTCCCCATGGCCAACAGCACCCCCAACCACAACAACCACACCTTCCGAGACATGCCACGACCCGGGGGGCAGCACCGGCGGCAACCAACCAGTGGAACAGCGGCTGGTCGCCGACACACCAACCCCAGCCGCAACATGCGCAGCCGCAGCAAGGACAGCGCCACACAGGCCATGCACAACGGACGTGGGGCTACGCAGCAACAGCAGCACCTTCCAACGGCCCATGGAGACCGAGATACGCCCCAGTCTACGACCCCTACACTGACCCATGGCACGAGGATGAGGAGGACGACCCGCCACTACCTGCAGTACACGGCCACAGACAACAAGCGTGGCAATGGGGGGCCATGGGAGCACAGCAAGGGCAACCCCCTAGCATGCAGCAGGCACAGGGGTACAGCCAGCAATGGCAAGGGGGGCAAGTGCAGGGGCAACAGCCCCAAGGGCAGCCAGCAAGTTCCCCCAGCGCCCCGCCCATGGCCAGCGGCCAACCCCAAGTCACCGTCCTTACTTGGGAACAACAGCAAGCGCTTATACAGGGGTCGGCCACCTACCAAGCAAACCGGCTCAGCGCAATCCAGGCGCAACAGGCCAGGCCGACGAACATGGCCCAGCACTCCCAACCTCCACCTGGGGGCCCCAACAACCAGGCACCACCAAGCCAGCAGCCTATGCAGGGGGGGCAGCCTATGCAAGGGGAACAGGGGGGAGCCACGACCCCGCAACAACAAGTACAACCGCAACAGCAGCCAAGACTTATCCCGGAGGAGATCGAGAAGGTCAAGGAGCACAAGCGGAAGCAGGCCCAAGCAGCACAAGCCCAAGCTGAAGCTCCCAGCCGCAGATGGGGACACGCAGCAGACTACTCGCAGACGCAGCAAACCGGGGAGAACCAGCAGCGTCATAGTAAGCCACAGCAAAACAGCAAAGCCCGGAGGACCACCAGCAGGAGGGGGCAACACAGCAAGACATCCCTGGGGACCAAGAACAGGACGACCCACAGCAAACCCCCGAACTTGAAGAAGTCTGCGTGCAATGCGGGCTCGTCCTTGCTAAGTGGGAGGGAAAAAAAAGAAGTCTGCGAGCCACAAGGGGGACAAGATCAACAAGATGACCAATGCCGTGGGGGAGCGAGCCAAAGCAACTACCATGAAGGTCAAGGAGATCAATGCAGAGGCAACAAGGCGACGAAGAGTGAGATCCGTGCAGAATTTAAGAAGCGCCACAAACCTGACGGGTACACGTGGAATCAAGTGGCGCACTGGGTCGACATGGTACCCTTCGATGCGGCGGAAAGGGATGGCAGCCAACAATCCCCGACACAACAAGGGGATGCTACCCCTGCGGGGGGAGATAAAGAGACATCCTACCATCGGGAACGGTCCGGGAACGCTATGAAGCGCGAGAAAGGGGAGATCTACGTCACGAACGCCCAGCAGAGAGTCGCACGCCGCAGCCAAGAGGAGAAGCAGCAGCCAATGTGGGGGAGAAGGCCGCAGCAGAACACCGAGAACGCTACCTAGCCCGACAACAAGGGGACTACAGCCGGGAACAGACCGCAAAGGCCCCACCCCAACAGCGCGACACAGGCCGGACACAGCAAAAAAGGGGACACGGCAGCCACCAGGCAGACTCAGCGGCGGGAGAACAACATGGAAGCAGACCCAGACCAGTCACAACAAGAGGAGGGGTGGCCTGGTGGAAGGGGGAGAACCTGCAGAGCATCCACGACAGGGACGGTGTCTTCAACCACTTCACATACAGCTGGGGGGGGTATTCCCCCCCCCTTGACCTGGCGTAAGCAGGTACTTGCGAGCTTGAAGAGGGGCACTGGCAGGATCTGTGGAGTTGGGCGAAGGAAGGTTGCGAACTCTCATCACCCACTGTTCAGGTTCGAGATTGCGGTGCACGAGGCCGACAGGGATCAGTTCGAAGGCTGTTCCTTGAGGGATGAACCCCTCCTTCTCCCCCTTTCTGGATGTCTGACACGTGCAAACCCCCGGTCTGGGACTCTGCCGCATGGCGGGGTGTACCAGACATGAGCGCGCTGGCCCAAGATCATGAACTTGAACATTTGTCCGTTTCCCCCGAAAGATATGCAGATGTGCGTATGGCCAGAGCGAAGACGCAGTTTCCCCTGGAGGATCCATACCAACCCAGAGGGGGGAGGAAGGCGGAGCTCAGCCAAATAGCGTCGGGGGAAATCCCAGCCATGCCACCGCCACCTGACCGCATTTATTATGCCCCTGCCGCATCCCAAGTCCCCGCCTCAAGCCACATGCCCACAGTGCTCCAAGACAGCCAAGGGGGACACCAGGGGGACACTCACCCAGGGGGAGCAGCGGACACGCCGCAACCACAACCACAGCACAACAACGAGCATGAGCAGCAGCAGCATGCCCCAGAAGGGGACGAGGAGGTCCCACAACCGCACAACAACCCAGCAGCAGCGGGAGCAGCCACGATGTCGTTCTATTCACCTCAAGCACGTTCAGCCTTTGTAGCCACGAGTGGGAGGAACAGGCCCCGGCAGGAGGGCGAACAAGGGGGTCGTGCACAGACCCAAGCCAAAGCACCACCACCAAAGCCCCCAAGCAGCTCCGAAGACGAATGGCCAAGTGAAGGCGAAGCTCCACCAGAAGAGGAGGAATCAGCGATGGTTCAACTTGGCACGTCCACCTGCAGGGGGTCGCCTACAACAACCTCGACTACTACGCCTTCCTCGGACAGCTCGCGGGGATCGCGAAGCAGAAGCCCGGACAGGGGGGCGGGCCCCTCAGGGGGACATACGAGTCAAGCATCCAGCTCATCAATGGGGAGAACGTCGCACACCTACCCGCCTCCCAGAAGACCACAACGCCTACCTGAAGAACAGCAATTCGCCAGGGGGGTTCTGCCGCGCTGGAGGACAGGGGCCGAAACCTCGCCTACGGCAGCCATCACAGCAGGAAGGGGGGAGCTGAGACGCATCAACCCGGCCCAAATGGCAGCAACCTTGGTGGAAGTGGTTAGGCACATCCTCAGGGACACGCTCCATGCCACGTCTGTGAGGACTGAACTATCAGAGGTGGGGGAACTGCTGGAGGATGTGGTTGCAGACTTTGGTGCATCTATCAGACTCCGAGACAGCGAGGGGATAGCGGAGGGGAGGGACGCGCTCATGGAAGCAGTGGATATCCTGGACCAGATCGTCATGAACTACGACACGGAGCACGACGAATTTACCATGGACCCAGCGACACTGCAAGATGATCTCCTCCGACTAGCACAACAACTCCAGATCGTGGTCCCAGCCCATAACAACCTCATGGGGGATATTAGGGGAGAACTTCCCTCGCAAAGGCCGTCTTGCAACTCGCAGGAGCTCTTTGAAGGTTACGGGGACGAGATGGGCCTTATGCAACAACTAGTGGGAGAGCGAGGGGAACACCATATACAGCGACCCCAGACATGGACCGATCTCCTCAGACAGATCAGGGGGGAACTCAACAACATGCCTCTACAATGCCGCCATGCGTGTGTACACCAGCTACTCTGCCGCCTTCATCGTCCGGGGCCTGACCCGGCGGGGGACACAGAAGAGGGACATCGATGCGCCCTCCAACTCTTGTTCGAGCACGAGTTCCCCGAAAGTTATCGCACCAATGGACAATGCGAAGCAGATGCGATATGGCTGCTCTTGAGAGGGGAGAGACTGGGTGAATACATAGACGGCATGAACCTACCAGCAGAAGAACGAGTACGAGGGGGACAAGAAGATGAACACCCGGGCCTGCGGGGAGGCTACCAGCACCATGAGGGGAACGCGAGGGATGGAGCAATGGGGAGGCACACAACGCCGGACGAAGACAGCCGCCGAGACCAGAACCACCACCCCGAAGACTACGAACCTACAGCCTTGATGCAGTTCTCATTGAGGGGGAGATCTACAGGGGATGATCCCGGCACACTACCAACCAGAGATACCTCCTGCACTACCACCACGACGACTACTACACCACAGCAAGGAGAAGACCCTGCCAGACCTACGACCCCTGCAACACCAGCGAGGAGCAGAAGCCCATCAAGAAGGGGGGACAACCGCACAACGACAACCACCGGAGGGGAACGACAAACCCCCAGCCCCATCCGTCGAGCGAGAAGTCAAGCCTCGCAGCTCCTAGCATCCATCACCTCCGAAACGCAAGCAGCTGCAGAATATGCCCCTAATGCCGAAGAGCTGGGGAGACAGAGACGCGCCGACGCGGCAGCAGAAGCACTGGACCTCATCACGGAGGCAATGGGGATGGCCAACGACGTTGGAATGCCGGGGGTCGTCGACTATCTGTCAGCCGCAGCCACAAGGCTATCGCAACTCCACCTAATCCGGAGGCCGGGGACGAACCGAGGGGGACGACCACTACCGACACCCAACGCCTTCGAGATCGCAGCGCTCACAGTGGGAGTCATGGAAGAAAGCGCACAACAGGGGGAGCCGCCCTCTATGGCGGAAATGCTGGAACTGCTGGAACTCGTACAAGCAGGCATGGCGCTTGAGACATAGCTACAATTGGCAAGTCA